CGGGGTGCGGGAGCACCTCAGTTTGGCTGAAGGATGCCATGCACACAGCCCAAGGCCCTAAGTCATGAGCAGATGTGCCTGTGTAGAGAAGGGAATCTATTGTGGGGCAGATGGGCAAGGCTTGAGAGAACACAGGTGCCTTCTACCTCTATTCTTTGTTCTTTAGATGTGAGTCCTTAGTGTGACAGTTTCTGAGTCTTTTAAAAATTTAATTAATTAATTAATTAATTTGGTACAGGGTCTCGCTATGCAGCTCTCACTTGCAGTGATCCTCCTGTCTCAGCCTCCCCAGTGCTGGGATTATAGGCATGTGCCACCATGCCTGGTTTCAGTGGCAGCAAGGCACGGGGCAGGCACAGCACATGGTATTGGGGATTGAACCCAGGTCCTTGTGCTTGTCAGGCAGGTGCTTAGACTGCCAAGCTATCTCCACATTCCCCAGTTTCTGAGTTTTGAGAGAAAGGAGAAACACTGAGTTGAGTGCCCTGAAGATGTATGGTGCAATAGAAATGATGTAGGGGCCTGAAGAGCCTGCTTGTCTTTGATTCCTGGCTCTGACCACTCAGGGCTATACCAGGGGTAGGAAGAGCACAGCACCAAAGCAGCCAGTGGTCCAGGCTTGGTGATGCCCCACCTCATGTCAGGAGTTTAAAATAACTCTCCCTCGGGCCGGGGAGATAGCTCAGTGGAATAAGTGCTTACCTGGAAAGCACAGGGTCCTGAGTTTGATCCCTAGTGCCACCAAAAAGAAATTAGATAAGTAAATAAATAACTCTCTTACAGCGCGTGTCATGCTCATCTGGGAACTGCTTTCTACGAACAGCATCATTATCAACAGTGACAGATCTGGGCATGATGGTGCGCACCTATAACTGGGAGGCGGAGGCAGGGGCATCACTGTGAGCTCAGGCTAGCCTGAAACACAGAGTGAGACACTGTCTCAAGAAAAAGAAAACAAAACAAAGCACTCATACATTCTTCTTGGCGAATCTGAAAGTGAACATGCCCTTGAAGAATAACTTATCTTTGACTGTTATGCCTATACGTTGGTCATGGTGGTCTCTTAACAGTTTAACTCACTCGCCTCTATGTATATGCCTTTACCACCAACTCGACCCATTGTTAAACACAGTTAATTGTGAAGGCTTAGGCTGAGACAGCTCCAAAACCTTGGGTGCTCATACGAGCAAGCTGCAGCTCAGTGGAGGTAGGAAAATGCCTAGGAAAATGAAGGGTAACTGCTCATATAAACCACCCAATGAAATTGCACCAACGAGAATCTGACAACTAACTTCTTAACTATTAAATTCAACCAGTCAAATGTTCTGTCTTGCCTCTGAGCGTTCTTTACAGCGCTTCCCCTCATCCTCCAAGCACTTGTAGGCTGGGGCTACTGAATCCGCAACTCATTATTTGTTAAAATATACTATTGCAAAGTTGTAATGCAGATTGGTCATGGTGATGAATGCCTGTAACCCCAGAACTCTGGGAAGTTGAGGAAATTTAGCAATACGTTGTCTCAAAATTAAAAAAAAAAAAGTCAAAGGGCTGAGTATGTAGTTCAGTGGGTTCAGTTCTCTGTACTGCAGAAGAAACCAACCAATCAAATATAAAATTAATGTGTCTGAGTTTTTCTTTTAGCACCGATTCTTCCTTCTAATTCATATTAGAATTGCTAACTTCTCCCCAGCAAAGAAAGCCCCTAATCCTGCTTTCTTCAACCTGACAGCATTTAACTATTCAGCAATAATTATGTACTATTCTTTAGTGTCAAACATTATTACTTTAACATTTCCTTAAGTAATTTAACTTCTCATAGGATCTGTATTTGTCACTGTCCTCGTCTTCATCTGCATAGAACCCAGTTTTAACAAAATTACTCAAAGGATGGATCTTATTTTGAACTTAACCTATGTCACGTCATGCCTGAGAAGTGTGGGGGAGGGGGCCTCTTTTTTTTCACTGCATGCCTTAACCTGCTTCTCTGCCAGCCCCCGCTGCTAGGATGCCCTGCCTTGGAGCCACCCAACTATGCACTGAAACCTCTACAAACTAAGAACCAATGGAAACCTCTTATCCTTTAAGTTGTGGCTTTTGGGCATAAACCCTAGCAATGAGAAAGTAACTAAGACAGATTTTGGTACCAAAGAAGTGGAGTCATTCCTGTCCTGCTCCCTGACCATATAGTTTGGGAGCCTTTGCAATTAACTTGAAGGATGAGGTTGGAAAGGTTTGGAGATGCTGGCTGGAGAAGCAGCCCTAGAGCGCTGTTAGTTGATTTTTAAAAAAAAAAATTTACGTATTTGGTACAGGGTCTCACTACACAGCTTGCAGCCTCCCCAGCACTGGGAGGTATGCATCACCACTCTGGGTCTCACCTGGGGGCAGGGCTGGTTTGGCATATGGTGCTGGGGATCAAACCCTGGTCCCTGAACTTGCCTAAGCAGGTGCTTAGTCTGCTGAGCCATCTCACTGGCCCTATTAGTTGATCTTGATAGGATATTCAGAGTTCAAAAGACCAGAATATTGACAGTACTGCAGTTGATAAAGGCCAAGCTCAGGGCCTGCGTGGTGGCGCATGCCTGTAAACCCAGTGCTGAGGAGGCTGAAAGCAGGAAGATCACTGAGTCTGAGCTGCATAGTGAGACCTTGTATCAATGTACCAAATACATTTTTTTAAATAAATAAATAAATAAATAAAGGACCAAGCTCAAGTGATTTCAGCTGGGAAGAATTCCACAGGCAGTTGGACTCCAGGTCATGTGTGTTACGCTCTGGCAGAAAATTTTTCTGTATTTTGCTCATGTCTGGAGGCTTTTCAGGAGACTGAGTGTAAGGCAGAGGACTGATTAATTGATGAAAGAAATTTCATGGCAGCCTAATATTTAGGTGTGATATGGGTACTGGTGGGGCATTTTTAGTTAGCTTTATCTTGAAAATCAAGAGCAAAAGGTACAACTAAGTGCTTTAAAAAGTTTTGAGTTTAGCCTGAAAGGAAGCATTAGTAAAATAGGGAACACAAGGATGGAACAGAAGGGGGCCGAAGAGATGGCTCAGTAGAATAAGCGCTTGCCTGGCAAGCTCAAGGGCCTGAGTTCAATCCCCAGTTCCGAAAAAAAAAAAAAAAAAGCAAAAGTGAAAGACTGCTTTGAGAAGACAGGCTCAGGATGCTCTGCCGAAGGCTTCCTCAGCAACTGCTTTCCTTGGGGACTCAGTTTGTCACACTCAGCCTTGCAGGCACCTGAAACCCAGAGACTTCGGACTTGGATTTTTTTTTTTTTTTTTCCCGGTACCAGGGATTGAACTCAGGACCTTGCACTTGCCAGACAAGCACTTATTCTACTGAGCTATCTCCCCAGCCCCTGTACTTGGACTTTTTAGCAAGGCTAAAACTGTTAGGACTTTGGCAACCTTTAGACATAGACTCAATGCATTCTGCAGAGATGTGTACGAATCTTTTGGGGTCCAGGAACAGAATGTTAATAGTTTATATCCAGATGTTTCTCCAAAGCATCATGTACCCATAGGTGGGAACCTGAGGAGGTGGCTGGATTATGGGAGTGTGACAATGTTGAGGTAAAGCTGGCCCAAGGAGGTGGGTCACTGGGGCAGTGGCCTGGAAGGGTGTGCCCCGCCCCCTCTGACCCCTGCTTCCTGGCTGCCCTGCCTTGAACCACTTCTCCTCAGGGCGGTCCATCTACTATGCCACCCTGCCAGATCCACATGGACTCAAATCTCTACATATTGTGACCCAAAACAAACCTCTAACACAAAACATAGGGATTCTGTCAGCCATACAGACTACTTTATCGATAAACTATTAGTATATTATAGCGACATACAACAGTTTTGAGCCCGCAGTCTACTATTGTAGACTATACTGTACTAGAGTGAAAGCAGAAATGTGTTCTGGAGAAAGCTCCTTATCAAAGGCTAGCTTTAGCCTTCTCCCAACCCCCTTCCACTCACCAGCCTCTGAAGGAGTCATGTGGTGAAGTCCTGGCCACATGTCATTTTGTTTTGCTGAGATGACATCCAGAGATAACGTCAGAGCTGGAGGAAACTGCTGAGATCTATCTAACAAGGCAGTTTCTTATTGTCACACTGAGGGGAGATTGGGGGAAGAGGGGACGCTATTACATTTTGCCTCAAAAGAACCTGAAACCAGGATCAGAAACTTGTTGTTCCCATGCAGCTGCCGGCTGCGATAGCCACCAACATAAAGGCATGGAGAGTAATTGTGCTTTCCTAGAATTATCTACTAATTATTACTGTTACTGTCCTGTTCCTGACCACTCCACCCCCAAGCTCTGAGTGCTGCCATCTTATTAATTTGGACAATTGGTAATAGTTTAGTCTCTTAGAGGCCAGAGGCCAGGATTGGGTGTTGGTATCCAGTGAGAGCCTCGGTGGCCTCATAAGGTGAAGTTGGAGGGGGAAGTAGACCTGAGTGCAAGAGGCGAAACACAAGAGCTGGCCTTACTTTGTAACAACTCACTTTCAAGGTAACTAATTCAGTCCCATGAAAAAGGCATTATCCATTCAGGAGGGTTTTGGAGCCCCCAACCCCTTCTTCTAGGGCCCAGCTCTCAACACTGCAGCAGCAAGGAACCTAGGTTCCAACCCATGGCCCCTTGGGAGACACAAATGGTAATGAGGCCCTACAAACTCTCTTTTGAAGCAGGTATGGCTCATAAACAGCAAATAAAATATTTCAAGAGTGCTTTAGGTACACTTACAGATTTATGCTGGGTTGACTACAGTTTTCTGGGTTGAACTTAAAAGACTTCCTGTTGGCTGCTTTCAGAAGACCAGGGTCACCATTTTAGGGTGGGTTAACTCTTTTTAGTGCACCTTCTTCCAGTTGTATCTATTTTTTTCTTTCCCTTCATGCACAGCAACTGCCTACCAATGACTTTCAAACTTGGGAAGTATTTTCACACAGGTCTTAAATTCTGCTTTAGGTGACCACCATCCCCACAGTAAGCACACGATCTCACTTCGTATTCTGATGGTTTTATTAACAAGTATATAATACATATATTGCATACTGTATATAGAATATGAGGACTGTACAGTACAAATTTATGTTCACAGTTTGACATGACAAAATGTCATTACTCAATTCCCATTGGACTACAGAGTAGAAACAGAGAAGGAACATTAAACATTCACATCTTTAGTAAGAAAGATTACCAAAATGTTTCAGTATTTGCAAGTATACTAACGCATGCTAAAAACCTTTACCCATTCAGTCTTATTAGCTTATAAAATATATTACACTTTATTAAAAATTTCTGCATAGTTTATACAAGTATTAAAGTACTGTAAATGTAATAATCCTGCTATACTTGCAGGTATGGTTTAAGAGACGCTAAGCAGAAAGATTATTTTGACTCTCTAACACTAAGTACATAACAGAAAACAAAAGTGCTAGTATTTGTAAAACATGTTGTAGCCCTCGTTTAATGCATGTAAAATGGCTTTGTAAATGTATTACTTAAGTGAATTTGCAATCATTTAGAAATTGTTAACTTTGACCAAGAAGAGAATAAAGACAACTCTTGAGTTCATGTATGATGGCAATTCCTTCAAGACAACTATGTATTTTCAAATCAAATTATTTTAAAACCTTAGCTCTTTGAGATTGTCTTTAAAACAATCTAATCAGGAATGATGGACAGATATACAATATCAGCAATAGTCTTTCAAATTCTACTTTAGTGCAATACTGATAGTGCAGATGGGTGTTGAAGAAAACATACATATACATATATAGTTCCTCCGTAGTTCTGTTCCAAGGCTCTTGCAATCGCTGCGTATTTAGCATCTCCGTTGCTGAACATAGCTATGCTGCAAATACATGCTCCAAACCAAGCAATTTAGAATGTTAATGCCCATTTATGATGTAGACTCACATTTCAAAACTCTGAAATATGATAGATTCTGATTTAATTTTTATGACTTCACCAAGATGACATTTGAGCAATAACTGAATAAACTCTCTAATAAACAGTTTATATGACACCAACTTCATGTTTACAAATCATTCTGAGAAACTTAAAATAAGTGTGATTAAATCACCATCGATAGTAACATGGCACATCATTAAAATCACAAACTTCAGGGCATGTTATCTGCTATCTGAGGTCTTCCACAATGACAGCTAAAATGTCTAAGACTAAATTTCTCAACTATCGTAGTAAAATACAAATATGGAAAATTTGGTAGGGGCCGATTGGTAACTAAAAAGTATCAGACCAGCAAAGGAATAGACAATGGCCTCTCTGGGTCGCTTCTGAGTTAAAATGGATCTTTGTTAATTTACTGTTAACAGAACCTAAGCAATTTAGTAGTAGCCTAGCAGTCTTTTGAACAAGATTTAAATATACCATAGCAAACACCCCATTTCACGAGAACCCACGGAGCTATTAATTGCACTCCAGATTCAGTGCTCAATCCAAGATCAATTCAGTCCTTTTTTGCCCCGCTTTCTTTATGCGTTGGACTAGAGAATGGCTATCTCCACCCAAAGGAAAACATTCCTTGCACGCCACAATTCCTCAGTGTTTTGGAAGAAATCAAAAGACACGAACACTTTGGCATGGATGGGACCGACCAAACACTGACAACATAAATGACACCTGCTTTTCAAAGAGCCATTTCTATTCCTCAATTCATGTTATAGTTGCACAAAAGAAAACAATAGCCCAAACAGCATATTTTAATAGTCTCAAAACATTTTGTAGTGCTAAGAAAAAACAAAACAAAACAAAACCCAAGTGCCAAGATAACGAATTTCTTTCCATTTCTCACCTACATTTCCTTTCAGCTGGTTCACAGGGCCGAGTGGGACCCCGCAGGAGCGCAGTCCCCATCACCTCTAACACAGCGCCATCAGCGTTAGCTCCCCACGCATTTTGCAGGCCTCCAGTCCCTTGCTCGCTCGCTGATGTTCAAAATCATGTATTCCTCCCAGCTGGGGTTGTACGGGATCCTGAGTTGTAGCCGGGATGGAGCTGTAGAATTCCACTCCTCTCTTCCTCCATCCTTCAGAGCGAAGGGGCATTTGGATTTGCTTATATGCAACCATGTTTGACCACCACTGCCCATTTTCTTCTAACTTGAGACCAATGGCATTTTTCTGTGTGAATTATTTTTACTGGCATTTAGACTATGGTGCTCAAAAGCCCGCTTTTGAAAAACTTCCCCCATTACTAATGTTATTTATTTTCAACATAAAACACGAGTCACTTTTTTTTTTTCAGTTTGTTCTTCTGACAGGATACTTAGTAGTGACAGGAAGTGACCAATTCCAAAGTAAACTTTCGGGAACATTCAAGCTACATATATAAATCCCTGAACTGTGGTTTTCTATATATTTTCAGAAATCTGCCCCCAAAATAAAGGTATATGTGCTTCACACCTAGTTATATTTACAAAGAGTGCTACTCAGGTCTTATGTGAACCAACCTAAAGCTTTAGCAGATACTCATCTATGATGTGTGCCACCAACACAAATGACAGCCAGTCTGGCACCTTACAGCTCACACATTTCATGTAAAAGCTACGTGACTACCTTGATGTGGCACTACAAGGACCACTCAACATCTCCCTGCTCATGAAGTTCTGTAACAAGTTGGGTAAAAGGAAGACCCATCTACTTTTACCCTGAAGGATTTTACTCTACTAGTGGGCAAATATTTTTGTGGCTTTGTTACCCTCCATACTTGATGGTCCATACTAAGACTAGGAATGGAGATCTCTGTGTGCAGAACCCATGGTGTTCGCTTTGGCAGCATGTCTGTGCACAGCTGAGCATGCGCGGTAGCTGAAGCTCTCTGGTTAGCACCGTGTGGCTAACCCAGTGTTCTCCCCAGCAGCTTCCTCCTCTGCAGCCCGTTCTCCGCCCTTCTGCCTCTCATCCACGCTGCGGATGTCCAGCGTTCACCCCTCGCACCTATTTATCACCCACCTGATTAAGCAGCTCTGGCTCATCTCCTAGTGGTGGCAAAGCCCTCCGTGTGGACTACAGGCCCAAAGGGCAAAGGCCTAGACTTAGATGAGGTGATCGTCCAGGTTGTGATGCAAGATGTGTGAGGACAATGGCATTGGTGACTACACTAGCCTGAAGCCCTCCTGCAAGTCTTGCTAATGGCGAGCGGGATCAACCTTTTCGCTGCCGAGCGTAAAATGGGCTCATGGTGCACAGGGATGAATGTCTCTGGCAAGGACTAGCAGGCTAGATTCTGTATTTCTAATACATTTACTTTGACATTCTTTTGAGGAATACATGGAGAACCGACAATTGGTTGTTAGTTTACATGTTCCCTTGTTCTCATTACATTAAACATATCTGTAAGAAGGGTTTGCTTAGCATCCCCAGAAAAAAAAAAAAAGTGTTCACATTCTTTAGGTCTGACCCGTGATAAGGAGGGGAGGATTAGAGAGTATCAACTACTGACCATATGGAAGTTTTGAATGATATAAATTCAGAGGTTCAGACCAGCTGAACCAAAATTAAAATGTACATGTAAAAAATGAGTTAGATAATGGGAGGGAGGACAGAGAGAGCCAGAAGGGTGGGGAGCGCGCCGAGGTGGAGACTGAGGCTTTCAGACCAGCATGTGGCGCTTCCTGTGTAGGGCAAGATGGTCAGAACGGGAGAAGCTGCGGTCACAGTCTGGGCACTGGAAGGGTTTGATTCCAGTGTGTTTTCGGAAATGTCTTGTGAGTTCATCAGACCGAGCAAACTTCCATGTGCACCCTTCCCACGTACATTTGTAGGGCTTTTCTCCTGCAAAAAGAAAAACAAAAAACAAAACCTTATTTATTTATAAGACAGTAAAGGTAAAATTTTAAGCTAATATTCTTGAAAAATACTGTTTCCAAGATAAGGTCATACATGTGTCCTTCAACACACTACAGTGCTTTGTAACCATTATGCGACAAGAAATTAATTCTCTTAACGTTTTAGACCGGCTGTCAACCCCTCACTCCGGCCCCATCTACACATACTTTGGCCTTGATCCCCAATTATTTGTGTTTTACACTGGGGATTGAATCTAGGGCCTTCACACATAGCTATGCCCAGTGCTTTTTATTTCTTTAAATTTTGAGATAAGGTCTAAATTGCCCAGTAGGACTGTGCTCTTGGGATTCTCCTGCCTGACTTCACAGAGCACACCACCATACCCGGCTATCTCCAAGTCTTAATCTTTATCAGCAGCTTAATTATATGTAGTACAATGGCATATTAAGTCCAAATTGGAAGTTTGAGGGATTTCTTACAGTTTTCTAAAACTATGAAGTGTCTCGTATCAACTAAAATGCCAGTTAGGGAACTCAATATCCTACTTTTTTTTGACTCAGTAACAATTATTCCTAAGTATATGTTTTAAATGTATAAGTACTGAAAATATAGTCATTTCTCCCCTCCTTTCAGAAGCCAGGCTCCTACACCTTCTTCCCATAGGAGGATGCGATTTACAGGTGAGCAGAAGGCCGAGCCGGACAATGTAGGGAGGGCGGGTGCGAACATAAGCAGAGGCCTTCTGCAGCGAGACCAGAATGCCCCACCAGCGCCCGAGGTGAGATGACCACCTCTCACGGCCTTTCGGTGTGATGGCCCGCCGAAACTTCGGGCAGGGCAGTAGCCCTTCAGAGAGCACAGCACTCCTGTGCTCTGGCTGCTTGCTCTCTATTTGATCCTGAGCCAAGGTGGGGCAGTCCCTGAACGAGTATGGCAGGCAATGACACGGGAGCCCCCTCAACTCTGAGTATGTGCACTTTTACTTCCTTCAAGCACACCCTTATATTTCGGTTATACTTCTGTGAAGCTATCCTAATTTCTGTTCCGCTTAAGCCATGTTCTTCACTGTCATAAATCTTATCACAAGACAGCTACGAGACAGCCCGGACCAAGGCCAGGTCCTCGCCAGCGCTAGCAGTCAAGGCTCTGTCCCACTCTCTGCCCTAACTACAGAAGGCAGAACTACAAGCACATGCGAGGGGCCTGGTCGTAGGACTGTACTAAATCCGTTCTTCCTATCACAAAGGGAATCATTCCCCAACACTACCCTTCCCGACCAACGGAGACATCTTTCTACGACCATGATTGCTTTTGAGGTGCTTCACAAACCTCCATTATTCACACCAAGTATCCCTTTCCCCAAAGGCTTGGGACCAAAGTGATTCAGATTTCCTTTCTTCAGATTCTAGAATAACTGCACAGGCTTTTGCAGGTGAACATCCCTAAATCCAGAAATCCAAACTGCTCCAAAACTCTAGACCTGCCCAACTGTTCTGCTGGCATTTGAAAAGTCAAGAGTTTTAAAGCATTTCGGATTTGAGATGGGGGCTGCAGAGCCCACGCTGTGTCCGGAAGCCAGAACTGCTCCCTTACACGTTCTGCACTACTACTTCCCTAGACAGGTGAAACCAGGCTGGGTTTCCAGTACCTGTATGCGTTCTTCTGTGTGCTTTGAGGTGGGAGCTCTTAGTGTATACTTTGTTGCATCCGTCATAGTCGCATCTGTGTATCCTCCGCTTCCTCTGTGTATCCGGGGATTCCACAGGTAAAGGTCTCTTCCCGGGCTGTACTATGACTGAAGGGTGATTCCTGTGAAAATCAAGGTTAAAGTTAAGTGTTAAGCACAGTGTTTCCTTTTTTTCAGTCCACTTAGAGCACTAACAACTTTGGGCAAAACCAAACAAACAAAAAACCCAATAGAAGAAAAACAAATTAGTTGACTGACCCAGGAAGTACTGCTATAGTCATTAAACAAACACTTAGTGAATATCTACCATGAGCCAGGCAACCGGGACACAAAGATGAACAAAAATAGGGTTCCTGTCCTCAAGGAGCTCATACTCTAGGTTGTTCTGAGTGCTGTACATGCAGAAACTACAATACACACAACTAACCAGGACATCTGAGCCTAAGCTTTCTGTTCTAAAGAGCTTCACATATATACATAAATAACAAAAAGATAACAAAAGGCATTTGGCACACCTTTGAGAGACCTTAAAAATCATGGAGCAAGCCAGTGGATTTCAAAGCTACAAAGTCTGCCTTTGAAAGGGAAGGACTTCCTGAGACAAGCGCCGCAGGGCCGCCTCACTGCAGTGGGCTGGGCACTTGGTTCCAAGTGCTTTTCTTCCTGGCTAGCTGGTTTCCTATGTGGGCTGCTGCTGGGCCCACTCCAAGACATTACTCAGTCACATCTGTGAGAGAATTACTTAAAGAGTCTATGTCCCAGTTGCAGCTAATCTCAAATTTTTTGAGAAGCAAAGTGCATTCTTAGGTCAGCATTCAAATAAGCGTATTTCTCATTAGTCATTAAAAGCCACTGAGTATGAGATCACCAGAAGAACATGACTTAAAATAGAAGAGTTTTCTTTTGAGCAGTCTTCAGATTTGAGGAGACTGCCCTGAAATATTCTTCTGTAATTCACAGCAACCTACACTTGGGCCCAATGCTTCCTCAGCTGAGGGATCCCTCCCTGCGTAGGTGCTCAGACTGAAGTAGTTTCACAGACTGTCCTCACCACTTGGGCAGGACCAAGCACAGGTGCCTGTCACGCTGCTGGTGACCTTAGCAGAGAGACCCCTCACAACCAGAATGAGGCAACTCAGCCCACAGCGACGTGCACCATGCGTCTGTGCAGATGCAGCCACTCGGCTCTGGGCAGGGGCAGGAGGGTACTCGTTCTGCAGTAGGAGGCCAAGCCCAGGTCACTGGGTCAAAGCCTGCTCGCAGGTCTGCACTCGTCCGCTTCCTCCATGCTGTTGCAGGGAAATGCAACGACTCCTCTGAAAAACCTGGGAAAGTATTGGGTTTCTGTTGGGTGGGGGGAAGGGCGTACGTAACTGTAAGAGCAATGCAGTCCAACTGGAAGGCATGCTTACTGCTCTGACTGGGTAAGAAGATGCATCCTCTGCCTCATCTACTGGGGAGCACATGACAGTGCACCCTCCCACCAGGTAAAATCCTGCTTTGGCGGTGCTGCTACTCAAGCTACTTTGACGCAGGCTACAGCTATAGCATCCTTGAAATCATCAGGAAACCAGCTGTTTTAAAACAGACTTCCCATTCTGCGGCACAGCTGTGTGAGGGAGAAGCAGAGAAGATCAAGGTGGGCAGACACTTACTCAAGTTGCAGCAAAGGTAACAAGGGAGGATGGGTTGCTGCCTCTATCCAGGAAGCTGGCCGCCAATATTGAAGCCAATATTGAAGCACCACAACGGGAGATGAGGATGGTAACGATTACCACAAGAAATGGAAACAGAGAGGACATGGGCAGTGAGATGAAGTGACTAGCGGATTAAAGTGCCTGCAAGCAGGCGCAGGGGCTGGGGGTTTGATCCCCAGGCCTGCCGTGCCAGCCCCGCCCCTGGGGCATGCTGAGATGGCAACTGAGACTGGACGTGGTGGCAAGTGCCTGTAATCCCAGCTCTTGGGAGGTTGTAAACAGGAGAATCATTGAGTCCAGTCTAGTAGTGAGACCCTGAACACTCTGTAGACCCTTCCCTAAAATACAAAAAAAAAAAAAAAAAAAAGATTAAGTGACTAGCCCAAGGTCATGCACATGCTGCGGACAGACAAAGCTAGAGTCAAAGACCATCTTCTCAGCAACTGCAAACATACAGCCTCCAGAACGAGCACTGGGTGAGGTGAGAGTCCTTCCCAGTGACCAACCCTATGACTGACACTACTTAACTCCCGTGTGGGTCGATCCCATTAAAGTACTGCACAGGTGCTGAATGACACGGTACTACTGTCCTGTTAGTAGGATGGCAGTTCCACAGGATGGTGGATGACTAAAGCTCCAAGAACAAAGAGATTTTTCAGTGTTGAACATCTCCAAGTTGCACAGACCACCTTCTGTCACCAGGGCTGTTTTGGAGCATCTCTTGGGCCTGTGTGCCCTACAAATTTTAAGACCTTGCCATAATTGACACACTACTCTTAGAAGCAACAGCTGGAAAGAAGGTGTGTCTGCATGACAATTTTTCATGATCTAAACTTGCACGAAATATCTAAAACACCAAGTTCCGTCTGCAGACATCTGCACATATGCATAGAAAAATCACGTAAACGTTGAAAAACACCAAACATCGTTTACACAAGGTGAAAATCTCGAGTGATTACTTCAATGAAAGTTGACAAAACTACTGCCTTGCATTGTTCACGCAATAGTGCAATTTTTTTGGTAACATATTTAGCACAGAGTCTCACTACACAGATGGGATTTGTCGTGATCCTCCTGTTTTCAGCCTCCCAAGCACTGGGATTACAGGTGTGCGCCACTACACCCAGTCTCAATCGCCATCTCAGCGCCATGCCGGGGGCGGGGCCCACACGGCACGCCTGAGAACAATGGTCTCTGTGTCTGCCTAAGCAGGTGCTTTAATCTGCTGAGCTATCTGGCTGACCCGAGACTGCAATGTTTTGGGGAGAGATTCTCCCATCGTGAGCAGAGGTCCCGAGCCACAACACCCAGTGGCTGCCACATACTACAGGGCAGTCCCGGTCACCTGCAGCACATCACACTCTTGCAATGCTTCCATTAAAGGCCTAAGACGTGTGCTATTATACCAAGTCTGGTTACACCTTAATATACTTACTCTTGCAATAATGCTTGTGGGGGGGACACTGAGTTCATTAAAGGGGGTGTCATTTCTTCAGGATAATAGTCTGTCCTCTGTGGTTCAGTCCCAGGCTCTATTTTAATTTTTTTCTGTAATATGGGCTTCTCATATGATTCAATTACAGGTACTAAAAAATAAAAATAGCAAAGTCACTCTCTATACAGATGATCAACTTCAGCTTTTAAAAGTGCGGCATACAGCTCCTACCAGTATCAACACTGATGTGTGAATATTTATTTGCCCATGGCAAATCACAGCAGGAATGACTACTAGGAGACTCTTTTACTCCCGACTAGTGTTTTGCCAGCAAGCAGCAAACATAAGACCTAGACTTCTAAGACAAGCCTCATAATGATTCTTCCTTATCCCTGGGACACCAGTTGATAAATAAGGAGGCTTTTAAGAGCTAGCAGTTATCATCATGATCAAAAAGTATTTATTAAGTGTTCTTTGTTCCCAGAATCATTTGGTATTCAATAAAGTAAAAGTGAAGTCAAGCTTCTTGCTATCTCTAAGTTGACAAATGTACAATATTAATAATCATCTCAGAGTATTCAACAGCCAGCCTGATTAGTGGGAGTTCTTCCAAGAGTGACAAAAACAGGGCGGCAGTATCATGGACAAACAACTTCCTCTGCAGAGCTCAGGGCTCTGTGTCATGCTTCCCCACCCATACTGGGGCAGACCTGGTGAAGAAGCAGGTACGAGAGCACGCAGCTAGGCTGGTGTTTACCTTGCATGCTACTGCCTGAGTTTTCCATGTCCTCTGACAAGGAGACCATGAGCGGCTGCTGGAGGTGGCTGGTGTACATAAAGGGGACGGGCTGCACCACGACTGGCTGGATGACAGGCAGGATGCCCGGGCTCCGGATTCCGTGCCGTGTGAGGGCAGCTGCCATCACCGGGGGCAGCGGCATGCTGAAGGGCTGGACGCCGGGTGAGGGGGGTGAGTACTTTTTGATCGGTGGGCTGGAAGAAGGCATGCTCAGCCCCGGTGACGATCTCCGGTGTGAGGGTGGGAACTTCAGGGAGGAGGGAGGATTCCCAGCCGAAGGCGGTGAACCACGCTTGTTCACCGTGAGGTCCACTGGTTCCATCTGTATTCCATGCGACAGGCCTTCTGGGGTCTGAAAGAACTTATCAGGCAACGATGTGGAGTAAATGACCCCATATTTGGTGGATTTCATGGACTCCATGTAATTAGATGGGTAGGACTATTGGGAAGGAAAACAAAAAAAGCAATTTGTAAACAGTCAAATGGTAAGTGCACTGTTTGAGATACACACACACACGCACGCACGCACGCACACACACACACACACACACACACACACATTCTGATCATATAGGCTTTAAAAACATGTTGAGATATACCTGATCCTCCCCAGAAAGGGTTATGAGACAGATGGTCCAGCAAGCATTAAAACTAACGTCAGTATAGTTACTGGGTCACATGGAAAATCTGAAATTTAATTCAAGATTTAAAAATCCAATGCGAAGGGTGATACCTGGGCTAAGGTTCTAACACAGGTCCCATCAGCAAGCTTTGTGGGCCTTTATCACCAGGAGTCAGCTTCAGAGATCATGCAGAATTCAGAATCAGCCTAGCTGCACTAACTTCGTTGCTTTTCTGATGGCACGATAAGCTCTCCAGCTACGGCGTCTCTAACCTGCACAGGACACGCAATGCTTCCCATCTCTCAAGACCAGCTTTTGATAATGAAGAGAAACAGAGCTGCACAGTCATTCTTTCTGAGGGGCTTCTGCCGGAGCACAGTCCCCGCCCAGGGTGGCCCACAATCCTAGCCTGCTGACAGCTGGCCTGCTTTTAGCATCTGAAGTCCCAGAAATCTCTTCATCTCTGGAAAAGCAGGATGGCCATCTACCCTCCAAACCTATGTACTCAAGGCTGTTCTCCCTTGGGCAATTATGTTTTTGTCCCCAACTTTTATGATTTGGAAGCAATGCCAGCTCATGACACACCAGGAAAATGCACCATTGGGCCTTTATAATTAAACAGCCTAAAAGCACTATTAATTAATTTCTTGGCTTCCCTGGCCGTTCCAATGGCCACTACTGTGAGCTACACTAATTATGAGGGAGCAGCGATTCTGTCTGGGATTACTACTTGGATCACACTGTCCTCCTCCCGCCTAGACTAATGCATTTCCATCTGGCTGTGCACTGTTATCAAATGCTTGCTTTGGTCCCTCCTCCAGGCCAAATGCGCATCAGACTACCCAGGAGGAGGGGACCAGGAAGTAAGACCATTAGCACTGACTCTGTGTTTCCCTGGTGTCCACATCAGTTCCTCATCCTTACTTGTTCTATTTTCTTCTGCCCTTTCTTTCTACATCGATTACCATAATGTGTAACCTCCCAGCACAGGCAACACCAACAGCATGGCACACAGCCCACCAGGGGCACCTACAATGCGTACAGATGGGACCCGAGGGAGGAAAATGCATCCTTTTAAGCTAGTTCCCTGTTTACTTCAACGTGCATACAAGAACAGTTTATACTCTTCACGATCATTACATGAAGTTTCTTTTAAAAATAAATGTGTTAAAGTATAAAAGAAGACATGAACAATGACAATGACAGTATTAAAAATACACGTGCTCCAAGAATGCAACTTGTCGAGGTGCTACTGAACACCCACCTTCCAGGAGGTTGTGAGGTTGAAGTTAAAACTGGATCTGATGAGACAGCCTTTCTAATGAGCTTAATGTTAAGGCCTGGCACACCAGGTTGTCGACCAGTCCCTTCCTGTTCCTCACACGAGAGCCACAGTGGGCTGTCAGGCTCTAAACAAGGCTTCTGAAACCTAACGTGTACTCAGATGCACCTGGGCATCTTGGGAAAACACACATTCTGAATCACTAGGGAGTGGCCCAGGGTACGGTGGACCATTTTGTTAAGACTCTAAATGACAGAGGTATAGAATAAAGGTAGGAAAGGTCAATGAACAGAGAGAAAAGAATTCTAAATATTAATAATATTACTTAGAAACAAGGGCCTGAAGGATATAAAAACCAGGAAATACAAGATACATGAATTTTTAATACCAGTCAATTCCTACCTTACTTTAGAGCCAGACAAACCAAAGCACAACACAAAGTGAGAGGCCAAAAATACATGGCAACATTAACATTAAATATTAAATACACCTAAATTTAAATATTAAAATAGGCATTATTAAACGTATCAGGCTTGGGCCGGGGAGATAGCTGAGCAGCATAAGCGCCTGAGTTCAATCCTATAAGGCTCATTAAAAATATTATAAATTATGCACCATGAGCGCTGCAGGAAGTAATTAAATATAGGAAAGAGAAAGTTTTCTCCTAGTTGTAAAATTTAACATGTTTCACATAATTGTCCAAAGGGCAAAGGTTCTGGTGCTAGGAAGCAACTTGAAACTGGAGACAGCATCGGTTCTATTCACCAAAATGTGGCTTCCCTCTGATTTTCAGCCCTGCTTTTCCTAGGTCTTCCTTATGACCTAGATTTTAAGGCTAGCAGTTATTGGCAGCTAAATAGGAAGTAAAATGAGGACATACTTTTATTGCGTCCTTACTGCCTTTTTTTACCCATGGTGCACTCGAATTTAAGGCAAGTAGAAATTCAGAACCTGGGGACCTTGCAAATTTAAAAATATTGTCAAGCTTCCCAAGCCATGGAGAAAGAAAAAGCCACACATTGAAGTACATTCTACAAACATGACACACAGCTGCACTGAGCGCACTCGGCAATGGGCGGCCCCACCCTTACACTGAATGTGTTCGTTCTCAAGCACCAGGCTCAGCGCAGGAGACACATTTGGGCAGACACCCAACGCTGAGCATGTAATTAACCATTTCCAGTCCAACTGCTTCACAAAAAGGTGAGTAAACAGGGTCCTTCAAACTCGCAGTGGCAGTGCTTACTAGAACCTTCTCCAACGCAAGTTTATTTTAATTATTTGGGTGGAGCACATAAGCTACTCAATCAGCTGGTGGCAATCTGGTTCTGCTTAGTAAGGTCTGATACCAGGCTCCATCTGGGTGTGCCTCCAGCGGGCACACCCTGGTAACAGTCGCTTCCCCTCTGTTCTAGTCCATTCCTATCTTCTAGCTAAGCAATGCAAACAGGCGTGGCTGCCCTGGCCCCAAATCCAAATCGGGGGCAAGTGTTGATGAAGCAGAACATTTGTCTGTGGCCACAGATGGACACCCAGTGTCCCCTGTGTTCTGGAACAGAACAGCCCCAAGACAAGGTACACGCGTGGGGGCCACCCCACCCTGCAACCAGCCCTATTGGGGAGGTGATGTGTCTACTTCCCCAAGCCATCCGCCGTCTCCAGGGCAAGTGCCTTCCCTCAGTGCTAACATTCAATTAGGTGTCCATGCCTCAGGTGGTCGCTCGCTCTCAGAGAGGTGTTTCCCACTGGCCTGTGGAGGAGGATGACTTGCCCTGGCCTGAAGATACTAACCCACTGTCTTCACTCCAGCAAAGTTAAAGACAATGCCAGTTCTTCTGAGTCTTGAAAAACTAATGAGCAAAAAGGGCCCAGACTTGGGTAATTTCACAGATGTGTAGCTATCATTTTATAGTGAAGTGAGAATTTCTATAGTTTTTTTATTTCACTGGGAAAGGTTCTGGTGAGCTTTCCTTGACAAGGTAATTTAAGAGAGTAACAGAAACGCAGGCAAGTCTCCACTTGTGAAAACAGGGAGCACAGACAGGGCACAGAGGACTCCCCAGCCCGAGGGTGGGGCTAGAGCCGGGAAGGCAGGGCCCTGGAGGAGCCTAGCCCTGTCCCACACCCCTGGGGAAGCAAATGTCTCTCAAAAACTGCCCAAAGTTTCTGTTAGGACAGAACAAGGCAAACCAAACCATTTAGTACTTCTGAATGCATAAGGGGTCCACTGGATGAGAATTTCCACTAACAGAAGAAAAAAAAAAAAAATAAAAGGAACACGCTTCCTTCATTTCCATAGGAATAAACAAAGAATCTGGGGCAGTTTTCATACAATTTATTTTCTTTCAGACTTCCCTAATCAAATCCTATTTTAACCTTTTGAGAAATGGTAAAAACAACTTCTTTACACGTGCATTTTGAACACATGATATTTCATACTTAATGAATTAAAAAACAAAAAGACCCAGGAAACTATGAGTCTGCCAGCACAATGGAGCCACAGCAGCTGGGGCCCAGGGCACAGACCCGGGGCCCTGGGGGGTGGGGGGCCAGGCCGGGCTGCACAGAGAAGGCTGGGACGGCCACTGCTCTGGTATGGGTGAACGACCCTGCCCCCACGTGCTCGGTACACACCCAACGTGCAGCCAGGCTTCTCTTCTGATTGGGGCGGGGGTGGCAGTGCTATATACTATTTTTATTCATGTGCGATTAAAAAAAAAAAAAAAACCCTCACACATGTCCTACGCTGCCTTCAAGTTTACAACATATACTTAAACAGTCAAAGACTTTGACCCTCAGGGTCAGCCTCAATTGAAAAAAGGAGTAATAAATTAGATTCAATATATTCCACACTTGAGAAAGCAGAGCAGACAAAATCTGAAGAGTTAAGAGCAGGAACCAAAGCTTTCTGTGCAATTTTCTTTTTTCTTTCTTATTTAATTTTTTAAAGTAATTACAACTTCGTCGTTTTCAAATGTTTCAATTAATGGAGGTTTTGCTGAATTCAGACTCAACCCCTTTATTGTAAGGACTGACGTTAACCTTTAGTGAAACTAATTAAATTCTTTAAGTGCCCATTGAAGGGGAAAACTGGCACATGAAGAAGAAAAAGACTATTAATTGCAAAAATACTTATACATACTTTAACTTCACATATTAATACAAACTACAACCGTACAGGTTTAAGTTTCTTGCGATTCATTTTATTTCCCCTCCCCCTTTTTTTTTTAGCTAAGTGTATTTCCTTGCTCTTAATTATTTCATACCAATTTAGCAATGTGGATCTTCATTTTGGCTTGAAAGTAGGCTCTTGAGTCATATTTTCATGCCTGATTAAAAGCACTGGAAGTACCCCGAAGAGTAAAACGCACCCTGATGGCTCTGCATCATTTATATAATTAATCATATTCCTCAGTACCAAAAACCTATTCACATTTCAAGGATATAATTAATGGGGAAGTTTTTTACTTTAATTTTCCTCTAAGATGATCATGTAATAGTTGGGGGGGAGGTTGATAAATGACAGCCCTAAATAACATTAGTTTTCTGATTAATAAAATTCTTATTGCTTAGTTGTTTTATTCAGACATGCGGTTATCGAGTTATCCTGCTGCAAATGTTATTTTCTTAAAGATGCTCTGATTTAACTTTTCATTACACATGGTAATGGTAAATACTTCGCTGGCTTCGTAACAGCCATGGCAGCCCCACTCCAAGGGCCTCCCTTACAGTAACCCCCATGTCTTGTATAAACATTTTTGGCAGGAACTGCACAGCCAATGCAAAAGGATGACCTAATTTTGCAAGCGTGTCATTACCAACATTCAGATACAGAACTTGGGCCAAGTTTCTCCCCTTGTGAATATTTTCCACGTCTGTGGAAGAAAAGAGTGGGGGGCGGGAGTGAGCGCCTGGCCTTGTTACTCAGTACTCACTAAGCCAGATCCCCTCCATCTAGACAGCTGTACTGTGCGTGCTTTCCAGCCGGACACCTCTGGCACCCAGGCCTCATACGCACGGCACACTGCCTCTACCTACACCACCACCCAGACTAATGATTAGTCCCCGGCAGCCAGACAACACCTAGCTGTGGGGCTCTCCGGGGGGCTGGCCTGGCACTCGGGGTTCAAGGACAATATACATTGATTCCCACCGGGCCACACTCCTGCATGCAAAACTGTATTCTGTCCTCACCGCCACATCCTCATGCATCCTCTTCCTCAGCCACCTCTGCTGTGGTCTCAGCACCATGTGGCTACTGCCCGTGGGTTTTACGCCAAGTCACTTCATTCTTAACTATCTTTACATACGAAGTTTGAGATTCTACAAGCCTGTGTTGGTAGGGACCAGGCTTCTTGGGGCTAAGTTATGTGCTGATTCCATCGAAGGGCATGGGATACAGGTCTTAGGGAAGCACAGGGCCCAGTTATTAAAGGACGCACAACACCCAGGAGGGAACGCCCCGCAGAGATCACTGAGGCCTCACCAAGGTACTCCACGCCCAACGCCGGCCAAGTACTGAGCAACTTTGAGGAAGAAACAACAGGCCGTGCCATCATCACTCGGAAAAAGGAGGCAAGAGCATCAGTCTTGGAAAACTTACCACCGAGACAGGGTCCATGGCCTCCTGCTTGACAGGGACCGGGTCAAACATGAGCATTCTTTTAGTTAAACCTTCTAGGGTGTTCTGGTGTTCTACCTAGAAAAAAAAAGGTGTCCGTGTGAATCCCGGGGCCATTTTAGATATAAGGTAGTAAAAAAAAGTATTTATTGTTAGCTTCCTCAGACACAGTCTCACTATGTTTTGCAGATTGGCCTACAGCTCACAATCCTCCTGCCTCAGTCTCCCAAGTGCTGGGATTATAGGTGTCCAGCCTTAAACTAGTAAAAATAAAACACACTCCCTGCCCCGCTTTCTCACCCTTCCATCCCTCCCCTCCCAAAAGTGCTGGAACTGTTTTCCCTACCTATAAAAGATGCCATTTTGTAAAATTAAAACCAGGCCTGATGGTCATAATCAGATGAGAGCCAAATAGTCTTTCCACCTCCAGTGCATAAAGGCTGACTCTTGGTTTTTGGAGCAATATCTACAGCAGCAAGACTGGCTGCATGACTTAATAGAAGTTTAGATTTCGCAGGATTATTAAACACCTTCCCTTTTCCCTTGATGTTCATCACAGAAGCAAGCAAAAAGAACGTACGAGCCAACCGGTTTCTTTTATCCTGCCAAAGCCTTCTTTCTAGATTAGACCATGCCATCAAACTCAGCTCACTTACCCCTTTCTACTGGCCACTTGGGTTGCTTCTAAATTCTGACCACCACATACTACCTTGAACCCCCTCTTCACATCTGCATCCTCCTACCCATCTTTCATTCATCTCTGAGATAAATTTTCTGAAAGAGAACTCAAATGTGGGAAGCACATACATATCCTCAAACATTTTAGTGGTTGCCAAATGACACTATTTTTTACTCTAAGTTGATTTACTTATTGAAGTTGGGTTCATGTCCCCACCATGTTTCTTTGGAAGTGGTCAAGGTAGGGCTTGACCCACCCATGACCTGTTTTCTAAACACTTTTGCTATATGAAAAATTTCTAGATTTGCCTCTACCTGAAAAAGCTGCAGAAATTTTTGAGTTACTTCCTGTATTTCAAATTAAAACTCCTCAACAGCGATCCTATAGTTTGTGCTCTATGGGTGGGTGGTTATACCAAGATACTGTCACAGTCTCACGAGCAACACTGCATGGCTTTCGAGCCTGACTGCTCTGCTGGGTCTCATGACAACATGTGAATTTCATCCAGATTCAACATAAGGCCCTCCCTTCAAAATTACGTCTTCTTACATCACAGGATGCTCTGTAATCTGCGCACACCAGGCGATGCTAGGCTGCTCAGATCCACGGGGCCACCGCCCTCTCGTGTAACAAGCCAACAGCCAGGGAAAAGTGGATGATTTCTTAAGAAAGGATGAAAACCCTTGTGTTTTGCAATCTGTTACTCTTCGGCCCCAGTCTAGAAGCTGTACAGATGGTCACAACTCCAAGAACTGCTGTCCATGCCCCCCACTGGCCCATAAACAAGAGAGGTGGCATCTCCTGCTCACACCCCTGAAGTCAGATATGCAGCAGCCCTCCTCATGCAGCTGCTCAGCTGCAGCCCCCCACAAACACCTTCATAAATTGAATTAGATCTTCCAGATGCACCTATTCCAACAGATGGTATCTGGATGCAAATTCCAGAAAAGAGCACTGTGAGATAGCTCAGTGGACTAAGCACCTACTTAGAAAAGTACTGGGACCAGGGTTCAATCCCCAGTACCATGCGAGCTGATGATGGAGTCTGGAAGTGGTGATGCACACCTGTAATCCCAGCACTGGGGAGGATGAAAACAGGAGGAACACTACGAGTCTGAGCTGTGGAGTGAGACCCTATAACAACCAAATACATTAAAAAAAAAAAAAAAAAAAAAAAGAGCACTTGTATTTCTTAGAGGTGAAACAGCCCCTTAATCACATTATCTAATTTTAAAAATCAATCTCTTGGGGCCGGCCAAATAGCTCAGCGGATTAAAGCACCTGTAAGCAGGTGCAGGGGCCGGGGGTTCTATCCCTAGGCCTGCCTTGATGGGCCCCGCCCCTGAAGCATGCTGAGACTGGTTATGGTGGTACACGCACCTGGCATCCCAGCTCTTGGGAGGCTATAAACAGGCGGATCACTACAAGTCTGATTCTGTTCTAGTAGTGAGACCCTGAATACCCTGTTGTAGATCCTTAAAAAAAAAAAAAAAAAAAAAAAAAAAAAAAAATTCAAACTCGGGCTGGTTGTGGCGGCACATGCATAGTCTTAGCACTTGGGATGTTGAGGCAGGAGGATCACCATGAGTTTGAGACCAGCCTGGACTACATAGTGAGCTCAAGGTCAGCCTGAACTACACAGAGAGACCCTTTCTCAAAAAGCAAAACAAAACACCTCATCTCTTTGCCCTTAAATAAAACCTGAGTTAGATTCAGTTTAAAAGTTAATGGCAGCCCACAAGTCTGCAGCTCCCATTGAGACTTCTCACAGCTGCAGGAGAAGAGCCTGAGCTCCGCTAGTGGCTCCACATGGGGCACCTTGGACGCCTGGCTACTAAGGAGTGCAGCAAAGAATAAATTACGATGATGGAATCTGGAGTTCCTTTGGGTTCAAATTTTAAACTCTACCTTTCAGCTCAAATAGGCTTTAATGACTTTATCAAATGCCTATGGCATGATTACTGAATCCATTTAGAAATGAATTACACATTAACCTGCTATATCTTTTATCATTTTAAGTCATTTAAATCATAATTGTTCTTTAATGTTTTCCATTTTACCTATATTTAAGAAAACTCGGGCTTTGCAAGACTAAGAGAAATAGAGTTTCATGTAAATGATTGTTTCTAATAAAACCTAGCCTGTTTTTATTATGAAATATAAGGGCGGGGCTGGGGAGATGGCTCAGTGGAATAAGCGCTTCCCTGGCAAGCACAAGGGCCTGAGTTCAATACCCGGTTCCACAAAAAAAAAAAAAAAAAAGAAATATAAGGGCACAATTATTTGCTCAGAACTGTATTTCGAAGTAATGCAAATGTTCATGAAAGAATTTTTCTCATGACAGACCTTATTTCAGCTAATAAATAAAGGAGGAATGAGGCAATTAGAATGCCACATTTTGAACCTTATAGCTAAATAATGCATCCCTGAATTTAACAATGTGCAAAATTCACATATCCCAAGGAACAGCACCAGGTTTGCCGGGCATCCACACACCTAACAGCACTTTTAAGCTGGTAGTTTTAATGACCTAAATGATTATTCTTTCAGTGACAATCACAGGATATGAAACACAAGAAGATGAATGTCTGGAATGACACACCTTAAACTGTTAACAAATACTTCTTGGGAGTGGAAGAGTCAGTTTTATGTTCCTGTGTGGTAACTTTAAGATTAATTCTATAATTAAAAGCTTTAAAAACAGGAGGTAAACTAAGGAAGGCACCAAAGAAGAGAATGAAACACATTAATATATCAGGCTTTTGCTTATTTACTTGCAAAAAATTTCTATACTCTGTACTGAACACTTCTGGCATTGGTTTAGACCTCGTGAGTTCTGACATAGCACCAGAAGAGACTGAACTGCTTCAGTGTCTTCCATGTAACTGATAAGCAACAAGCAGTAGAAGAATTAGGGTCTCTAAACTTGGTGGTCTTTCCTACTCCCTGCTCAGCTCAGCGGGTAGCATTTTTAATTAAAGGTTTACGCTGGCAGCAATCCTATATACAGCCAGTAGGTGGCGCGCTGCAACAAGTCTTGGTGCTCAGGGCCAATCTTGGGGTCTTTAAACCTGTCTTTTAACCAAGCTGAGGAATTCTGTTAAATCACTTTATGTGGATGTCAGAAAGGAGGAAGCCTCAAACGCGCTTCAGTTTTTCCTTACTATTTTCCAATCATAAACACATTTACTTGTACATTTAACTCGCTTAGCAGAAATGAATAAACTAAACAATCCTAGAAGAAATTGGACTGCATTTAAAAAGAAAAAGAACAAAACTTAAGAACTTCTAAGTTCTTGAGGTGTTTAAAAACAAAAACACAGGAATATTACCACTCCAAAAAACAGTTTTCCATAACTGGAGAAACTATGATGTTATTGTTCAGGGAAGAACCCATAAAGCTGTATTTTTAAAAAAGAAAGAAAAAAGTGGCTGACACCCTGGTGCGAGCCTGCGATCCCCACTCTGAGGCAGCGGGATGGCAAGTTCTGATCCAGCGCCCAAATCCTGGAATTGGTCCCTTGGGCCACAAGGACAAAATAGCAAAAAAGAAGAAACGGATTTTCCTTTCATACTTTCTTTATACTTTTCTGATATCAAACTAAGGGTTAGACTTCTGTGACAGTGCCAAGCTGTCTGATTCTGTATGAAAAGCTTGGTGACTCAGTGAAGACATTCAGAGGCACCACAGCTCTGCCTCCAAGTCCTGCACTTGCGCCTCTGTGAGGCCCACGGGATAGCTGCTTCCTGAGAAAGGCGGTCCCCAATGGGAGAGGGGTTCTGCTGTCACCTAGCCTCCTCCGAGTCTACAAAGCAGCTCGTTACAGAGACACCCTTCCCACGGGCTGCCCCTTCCTCAGAAGTCGGACAGGGAGTGGAGTGGGTGAAGAAGCAGTTTAGGGTTCCCTGGGAAACACAGCAAGCCTTCTCCGGCATTGTCCTTGTTTATCTTTCTTCCTTTCCTCGGCTCCCCACAGGTTTCCTGCATCATGCTGCCCCCCCCAACCCTACAGCTCCCGATCACCTGGTTCCCTCAAAGCCAACTTTTGTTTCCCAGCTGACTTCCGCCAGGAACAGAGAACACAGCCGCGAAACCAAGGCCATCTGCGAGCGCTCTTTCACTCTCCCTCCCAAGGGTTTGGAGTTTTAAAGGAGGAAGCACGCTGCCCCCCCCCCCCCATCAGGGGGAGACCCGGGCCAGCGTGCACACACACGCCTCAATCGCTCCTGCTTCTGGCCGGAGGAGGGCCAGGCAGGCCAGCAGTGTCCCTGCAGCTAAACTTCCCCTCCTGAGAAACTTTCCTCTCTTCTCTACCCAAACTCTTAAAAGATCCATATGGCTCCAGTCAGAGGGAATGGCAGCTGTCCTGCCCTAAAACACAGGGCAGAGGCAACTGCTGAGAGGAGGCATTTTAAAACTGAAGTCTTAGCAAGAAAAAAGCTAAACTAAACGCTGGCACCTACCTGGAAGTGCGTCCTGTTTTCATAACCACCCAAGGGCTTCACCTACCTCGGTCTTCTATGGTCGGTTTGAAAGGAAATAAACTCCACGAGGTCTTTCCAAATCTTTGCCCCTCATAAATTAGTTATTTTGCATTAAACGTTTTGCAAATGGAAGAAGTTAATTATTTCATTTCAGATGAAATATAATGATCCAGTGAGCAAACAATCCGCCCTCTCTCCTCTCTCTGCGAACAAGCCATCCAATTTTACTTTCCTGCCTCCACCCATCGGCTCCACCCCATGGAGGGTTGCCAAGGCGAGTCCAACTTGTCCAAACAGGACATGGCTTCAGATAAGACTGCCCACACCCTGTACTTCGAAAAGACTCGGTGAAGCAATTGATTTTGCACGTGAATAAGGACAGGTGCAAAGGTAGAAAGCACGCAAAATCCTACACATTTCCAGACTGGCACCCTGCAGAGCAGACCTGGGGTCTGGAAACCCAAACCCCGCTACCCGTTAGGTCTGTCCTCAAGTTCAAGGGCACCTGGTTGATGGACTTCTACGCCCTTCTTAAGAGAAATTTCAGCAAACTCGAATCGTTTTCCCTACTAGGGTTACACACTTGTTTTCCTCCTTTATGCTGACAATTTCGTATTTGTGTTTTAAGGGCAAGCTGCCTAAGACAAATTGAAAAATACCCACAGCGCCTAATCCCGCTGTGCACCGGCTCCCAGGGCCTCGCCTAAGCCCTCGCAGCTCCTCTGCAGCGCGTTATATAATCAGATCCAGCAGGGCTGCGGGAGGCGCCCGGCCCACCCCCGCCCGCCCGCCCTCCCTCCCTCCCTCTCCCGCAGGCCCACCCACCCCACCCCGCGGCCTCCACCCATGGCCCCACCCTGCCGGAGTGGGAGCGGGGCGGGACGGCTGGGGCAGCGGCCAGTTCCTGGAAATTCCGGCCCGAACGAGGCTAGCAGGAACCTTAAAAATAACCAGAAAGAATCGTCAGCGGGTGGCAGTTCCCTCTGCCCCCAGGATCCGCTGCCGAAGTTTACTGCAGCGCGCCACGCACCGACCCTGCGGCACAAAGGCGAGAGCCACTACCGTCCTCTGCCTCCGACAGCCGGCAGAGCGGAAGCGCAGAGCCCTGGGGGCCGGCCGGCCACCCTGCCCAGACCCCGGCCCTCGCCCGCCGGGCGGCCCCTCCCGGCCTCCTAGTTGCCTCATTTTCTGGTCACTCACCATGGAAACCTAAGGTCATCCGAGACTCCGTCCTCACCCCTCTGCCTTTCCCCTCCTACCCTCGGGCCCGGCCCTGGGGGCCTCACCACGGTGTCCCCGGAGGCGCTCTGCATTGGTCCCCCCTGTCCTTTGCCCCGCACCGCGGCTCCACCCCGTGGCCACCTACTGTCTTCAGCCCTTTTCTCAACTCTGGAGTTCACAGCCCTCCTCGGGAGGCACCCAGGGCTTCGGTGCCCGCATCTGCGCCCCTTCCCGACCAGCCTCCCGGCTCCACAAGTGCCCTGCGAGGCTGGCCGCCCCACCGCTCCCCCCCACCCCGCCCCTTTGTTCATTTCTGGCCCCAACGCCGGGCAACCAGGGTGGAATGCCCCCTCCCCTTCCGGCTTATCTCAATCCTCCTAATTCTTCAAAGACCAGCTCAAGGCCCTCCCCATCCCGTGGCCAGCAGACTGCTGCCCGCACACACTGGCCTTATTTCCCCAAGGGTACCCCCTGGACCGCAGGACCCCAGCACCTGGTGACATGGCAGGTGCCCTGCCCTCCGGGATGGCAGACCCAGCCCCGGGGAGTGTGCCCACCATCTCCCTTTTGGACTGCTTCCAGAATGCCTCCAGAAACTAATGGGGGCTGAGGAAGGGCCTAGCTCCCTAGGAACCAGTGAACCAAACTTCCTCAGACTTGCCAGGTATGGTGGTCTGGCCTGAATCCCAGAGGCTGACACAGGAGTATTACAACCTAGACCCTGCCTCAGAAAATTGTAAAAAGTGCAGAGGCCCTGGGGTTCAATCCCACCACCAAAACAAAACCCCCAAACAACAAAAAGCTCCAAGAACAAAAAAGAGCCACTAGCAACAGTAAAACCCAAGCCACTCACCTTACACCCTTGCCTGTCACAGTTCATTAATCAGTTATCATTCTCAAAAACTTTTATTCACCACCTAGTAAGACTAGTCTCAAAGTCCCTATACTCTTAAAATTTAAATAGAAAAAAAGAAAAAGATAGGGAAAAGGAGGAGGCAGCAACAAGGGGAGGATGTGTGTAGAGGGGGGAACATTAGGTTTTTATACAAGGATGCTCCTTTTGCAAAAGGCCCTAAGCAAGAGCTATGTGACATCACACTTCCCTGCTGGTCACTCAGAATGGGTGCCTAAGAGACAGCAATGCCTCCCCAGCTGATGTTTGAGAACAGAGACATAAAGTAGCCCACCAAGATTACACAGCCCCTGAGCTGGACAGTCAGAATTTGAAATCAAGACCATCATCTAACTTCAAGGCTGGTGGCCTTGGCAGGCCATCTCCCAGGGCAGAAAACATGACAAGCACTATGGGATATGACTTCTGCTAAAAAATGGTTGCTGGGGAATATGAGACTCCGGGACAGCCTTACAGTAGCCAACAGTAGTGACTTCAACCTCTCGGGACTGGCCCTGCTGCCTACCTTCTCCCTGGGAGCATGCTTGGACTCTAGATCAAAGGACAAGTTCGGAAGGTCCCAAATTAAGCTTTTATTCTTCCTCGCCAATGCACCTGCAACTGGTCCATAAAAGCGCTGAGAAAAATTGGCAGTGTTAGTCAAGTAAATACGGAAATCCTCATAATAACTGCACAAAGGTGGAAGGGCCAGGTCCTCAGCCCCATTTTAGAAATGAGGAAATGGAAGAACAGAGGTGAAATGACTCGCCCAAATTCACAGAGCTGGCTAGAGCTGCTGCTGGGAACAGAAGTGTACTTGCTACAAACCAGGCTTTTCTGTTCTCCTGGGGGGACCCACTCTGGGGGGAACCATCTCATCTGGGTTACTGCCCAGAACGAGGATGTGGGTGTGTGCCTGGTCTATGTTAAACAGTGCCACTGGAGGTTCTGATGGGCAATTAAGATTTCAAAACACCTTTTCAGGTTTGATCACTGCAGACCTACTCCATCCTGTGGCATAACTCAAAATAATGATCGCATGTAATTTGAGATTAGCTTTAATGAGTAGGTGCTCAATAAATACTTGCAAGATGAATAAATGGATGAGTGTCAAACTATCCGCAGATGCAAGACGAAAATAAAATGAAGGAAAAGGCCCTAGAATGATTGTATATCTCGTATAGTCTGTGGAAAATCTGTCCAGGGGCTGGTGTCCAGCCTAAAAAAAAAAAGTTTTCTAAAACGCAAAGTGTGAAAACTTAGGGAGGTTTGGGCCAGAACAACCCCCTTGTTTGCAGAACTAAGCAGAACAGGAGCCTGATCTTATTAACGAAAGCAGTTTTCAGGCGCAAAGCTTTGGAAGGTACCAGGTGTGAAGTGAAAGAACAGGTAAAGGAGTGTATTGCCGTGATTAGACTCAAAGAACAGAGAGTAGTAGACAGAAGAGGTCAGTGGCCAAATCAGTAAGACCCAACTGGGCTCCCAGGCCAGTGGCTCAGCAGGTTAGATCACGGCCCTGACACCTGCTCCATCCATCCATCCATCCATCCATCCATCCATCCATCCATCCTCCATCCATCCATCCATCTATCCATCCATCCATCCACCCACCCGTACCCACCCATACCTACCTACCCATCCATCCATCCATCCATCCATCCATCCATCCATCCATCCATCCATCCACCCACCCAGCCAGCCATCCAACCAGCCAGTCAGCTCCTGTCTTGTCCTGACCCAGCTCTGGACCATCTCTGGTGAGGTCCCCAAGCCTTCCAGGGACAGTGACCATCCTGATCATGTCCCAGGCAAAGCTGGGCTCTTCAGGAAGCCCAGGAAATAGGGCTGCCTTGGGATGGACACCCCCTTCCAGAAACCAGGTGAAGAGCTGGCTGAGACCTCTGAGAGGACTTGTGGGTCTCCAGGCCCCTTAATAATTAGCCAGGGAGGCAGTAATATATTCAGCCTGCTAACACAAGGCAAAGAGTTTCAAAAGGCTCCAGGAACCTTTTGAACCAGCTAAAGAACTTTACCACAAACTCTCTGACCAAGGGACACAATTTCTTTAATGTTCAGTGAAGATGGTTACATTCCAGAATGCAGAGCGAGTTAAAAGGCTCACGGACACTTTTTTTTTTGAGAGAAAACACTTCAGTTCTGGTTCAGAAATGGTGCCTACAGCACTGTGTCTCTATTATTATTACCAAATTTCAAGGAAGGAGAGTTTGGGGCGGGGGAGCAGGGCTGCCTGCTGGAGACAATGTGCTCTCTTATCAGGGCTGCCTCTGTCTGGCTTCCCAGCTCCGTGAGGGCTGCAGATGAGAAGTGAGGCCCGGGATTCAGAAAGGACAGGCCATACTCGCAAGCGACCATCATGATGCCCCTCAATACCCTTGAGAAGCGTCTGGACCACAGTACCACCTGTTAGCAAACCAGGCAGCCATTATTTTAAGATCCTCATGACTTTTTAAAACCAAAAATAAATACAGAACTAATGATCAGTGAAAGACTTCAGGAAGAAACGCAACTTCCAGGAAAAGGTTAATTCCTAAATTTCAAAGGATGAGGTTGCATGTATTTATTTTTCTTTAGATACAACTGGGAGTGAAAACAGCTGGCAAGAAAAACTGTGAGAGGTACCAGTGTACAGCAAAAATATGTATTTGGAAATACTAAGAAAGGCAAGTAGCTAAAGGAGGGTGGACAAATGATGACGCTGAATGGTAATTATAGTAACTACCAGATAATGTAATTTAAAAACCTTGTGAGTTTTTTTTCCCCCCTGACCAGAGGTATCACTATGTTGCCCAGCCTGGCTGTAAACACTTGCCTCAGCCTCCAAGAGTAGCTCAGCTTTGCAACATTTTTTCCCACAGAACATAAAAAAACCCTAAACAAACATATTAACCCCTCCCTCCCCTACGGAAGAGAGAAAAATGATTTGGGGAAAGCAATACAAAGACTGTCTACCAAATCCAGCGGGGTGGAGTTAGAACTCAAAAACCTGCTTCAGTTTGGATTACTTAAGAATTTCAGTCTAAAGGCCTCTTCTACAAGTCAGCTGGACATTTCAAGTTGCTTTTCCCAAAAGAGAAAGGAAAAATCTTACTGGGATTTTCTAAAACTCCCAACGCTTTTCAAAAAAGATTATCAGTAGCCAACTATTTGATCCTAGTAACTTTCCAAACATCTTATTTTATACTTTCCCTTTAGACATAAAGACATATAGTAGGATGTGGTATTTAAAACCCAAATCCTATTTTCATCAATATTTAAGAATACAAGACCTGATTTGTTGCTTCAGCAACTCTTAATTAATGCTAACAGAGAACACTACAGAATGTTCTTTAGGTTTGAAAGAAAACTTTAGAATTAAAGTTCACTTGGCAAAAGTTGCATTTCCAAACATGTCTTTAAAGCTCAGTTTCTGAAGAACCAAGAGAAAAATAACTTGATAAAGCAGATTTTAAACAATTAACAAAGATATTTCTTAGTTTAACCACTGACAAGTTATTTAAAAGCTAGAATTATGAAAAAGTCATTATTTAAAAAGAACAGGAAGCCAGGTGTGGTGGCACACACCTGTAATCCCAGGACTCTGGGAGGCTGAAGCAGGTGAACTGCAAATTCAAGCCCAACGTGGGAAAATGTAGCAAGACCCAGTCTCAAAATAATGATGAACAACTACAAAGCAGCTGGGGGGCTCAGTGTGAAGTTTCTGAGCTCAATTCTCAGTACCACCAAGCAGGGGCAGAGAAGGGGGCACACACACATACCCCCACCCACACAATCTAGCTCATTCTGTTTTCAAAATAAAAGATTAAAATTTTCCAACTATCATTCAGAGGATTCTTCTTGCTAGTTCTTCTTTCTCTTGAAGATTTTTTTAAAAAAAAATTACAATGATTCGGAAACCAGATGTAGAATACAGTAAAATCTTTGTCCTTAAAATTTATCCTAATGTTAGTCTTAGTCTAAAAAACAAACAAACAAAACAACCTGAGATTTTTCAGTATGGTACGCTTTGCTTGAATAACATTTCTAACAAATTCTCCTTCAGGATATAACCAAGGCTGTAACTTGGCCCAGGTTGCCAAGATTACTTAAACCCACTGTCCCTGTCCCCTAAGCCTTCATTGAGTGGCTGAGTGGAGGCATTCAGGGTGGGCACATCCTTCAGATAATGCTAGGCCTCCTAGGCTGTAAGGTGTTAATCCTGATGAAAAATTGACAGCTTCAGGAAAAATGCCTCTCTTAAACCCTCTGCCTACCTTCACTGGAGAACTAAAACACACAAAAACAACCCCCAATGATTTGGGG